TGAAAATTAATAAAATATAATTATAGAAAAAAAAATTTTGGTTCCTGTGGATATGATTTAATTTTGCTTTGCAAGCTTGAACTTGCATATTAATTGGTGATCTGTTTCAGAATCAGCACCCAGCCTAGCTTTCACAGCTACTACTGAGCTTCTCCAGGGATTCTTTCCACAGATATAATCGATCTGATTCCTATGAACACCATCAGGTGAAATCTATGTGTATAGGCTGTGTTTGTTTCTTATAAAATGAATTTGTAATGAGCAAGTTGTTGATGGTGCAAAATTGATCCTTCTATCTTCAGTTTAGTTTCCATCAACAAGTCCATGTTTTCCAACTACTGCATTCCAGCCACTCATTATTAATGCATCTAAGAAGTCAATCCTGGAGCAGAAGTTCAGGCAAAGGACGTTTCCTCAGAACTGTCTGATAGGAAGCCTTCCCTGATACTAGTACCTGGTATTTGGACTTACAGACTTCTAAATTCAAGAGATACTGCCTGCAGCAGAAGAAACTGGCAGCAGCTTGAGGCGTTTGGAGTAACAGAAGCCCAGAAAGACTGAGATATAAGCATCACATCAGGGGCTGGATAAGGGGAAACAGGTATTGAATGGAGTAGGTGGGAGCAGAAGGGAATGCTGGTGTAGCAGGGAAAGGGGTGGGTCAAGACACAAGTGTCAAGGGCAAGGACAACACTAAATCTACTGGTTATTTCTACAATTAGGAATTATCTTTAATCTGCTCTTTTCTGTAAAATGCTTGTCTGTCAGATGTTCTAAATCTGAGCATTCAAATTAACACAGACTAGGAAGGAGGATTGGTCATCCACTTGTAAAACAGCAGGCCTTCAAAAACCCTATGTACAATAGAGCACATTTAGAGTAGCAGACATGGCAACTGAGGCTGAGCCCTCAAATATGGAAACACATAGGAGGAGAAAAAGCTGCAAGCTAAGAGTAGTGACTGGAACATGAAATGTGAAAACCACGAGTGCAGGAAAACTGGACATTGTTAAGAAATAAATGGAACACGTAAATATTGACATACTAGGCACTGGTGAAGTGAGATGGACTGGCATGGACATTTTGAGTCAGATGATCTGCTAACGAAAAGGTGAGAAAAAATGGGGCTGCTTTCATAGTTAAGTCATTTCTAGATCTGTCTTGAAATACAATGTTGTTGAGTGACAGAATAATATTCTTATACATATAAGGAAGTCCAATGAATACCACCATCATTCAAATATATGCACTAACAACCAGAGCCAAAGAGGAGGAAATAGAGATTTCTACCAATTTTTGCAGTCAGAGATTAATCAAACATGCAATCAAGATGCATTAATAATAGTCATAGTGGATACCAATATGAAAGTTGTTGACTACCCAGTTAAAATAATGAAGTAGTTCTATTTTAATGATGTGAAATGATTTCCAAAATAAAGTACAAAACAGATGGACAGGGGTAGGGAATGGAACAGAGAGGTAAATACAGATTTGGAAATACTCAGAATATCTTGGAGGCTATAAACTATTAACAGTGCTCATCTAGAGAAGAATCAGAAGGCTGGAACAAGAGGGAGATTTGTTTTTCACTGTATACTCTATATTTGGACTTTTATATTATACCATGTGTTTCTATTACCTAGTCAAAAATACCCGCACTAAGCATAATTAATGTCAATGACTGAGCATGCAAATAATGGTAATTGTTTTATTATACACACTGTTGTTGTTAAGTGCCATCGAGTTATAGATGACTCATAGTGACCCTATGAATGAAAGACCTGAACACTTGTATAACTTTTTTTAAAAAAATTATTATTATTTTTGTCTGTGTACTGTCAAATCGGATCTGACTGGTACAGGAGATTGCCCCTCCTTCTCCAATAGAGCATCTGGTGGATTCGAACTACGTTCCTCTGGGATTGCAGTGCAGCTTCTTGCCTCTAGGCCACCAGAGCTCCCTATACTTGTATAACTTTTACCGTCTAAATTCATAGAGTTTGCTGAGGCAAGCTATTTTGGAAACGGATGACACTCCTGTTTACAAGAATGTTTTAATTGGGGAGCTCCACCAAACACTGTCCACCATGGGTAACCATGATCACCAGTGTCACAGTGTTTAAAATCAAAGCAACCACGAGTTACCTCTGTACAGCAAATGGACAGACCAGTGCTAGAGCACTTAGAAGAATGTTTGACCAAAAACAATTAAAACCAGGCTTGAGTGCCACAGATTAAAATCACTTACTTTTGGATTGGTAGCATAACTTTCTATCCATTAGGTCAACAGAAGTCTCTGACTCACAACAGTTTTACAAACAACAGATCTAACCTTGCCCTATCCTATACCATACCCACAATCCTAGACAAGCTCAAGCCCATTGCTACAGCCACAGTATCAATCCACTGTGTTGAGGCTCTTCTTTTCTTCTCTGACCTTCCTCTTCTCACAGCATGATGCCATTTCCCAAGGACTGGAACCCTATCAATCCATCACAACAATATCCACAATAAAAAAAAACCCAAATCCACAGAGAGTTGGAAAAGTTGTTCAAAACTCATAGTTTGGTATGGGTTACTGCCATTCATTGTTATGTGTCAGAGTCAACTACAACTCAAAGAGATCCTGTGAACAACAGATCAAAGTCTGGCCCTATACTGAGCCCTCAAACTCTGTCAGTCATCTTGATGAAGAGCTTCTCTTTCATTGACCCTCTAATTTTCTCAGCAGGAAGTCTTTTCCCAAGGTCTGGTGTCTCCCGAAAATATATACAAAGAATGTGAGATGAGGCTTCACCTTCTTTCCCTCTAAGCAGCACCCTAATTGCTCCTTAGTACCAGGTAGCACTAAAGTTAGGAGAATGTGGAGTTAGCATTTCCACCTAATCTTTATTTCAGTCCTTTAGCCTGGCTTTATCAGTGAATAACCAATTTACTGCTGTCAAGTTTATTCCCATGCATAGTGACCCACCATTGCCTTTCCAAGGCCACGTGTCTTTAGAGGAGGCAACTGCCCACCTTACTCCCACTACCACCAGAGAAATGCCACCTTCAGATTAGCAGTGCAACTCCTTATGGACTACTCCACCATCAGTGGAGATAGTGTCCACAAGTGGAAGCAAGCCCACATGAAGCTTATGTTAGATGTAGATGTTACTCAGGAAACAAATTCAGTTTATTTCTCTGGTTTTGACACAGTACACAAGAGGGCAAAGTGTTTCACATCATAGAATTTCACTCGCAAGTCTTTGGAATGTTCATTTCTTTGGCTAGAAGGAGAGTTGCCAGGAAAGTCAGGCATTAGGTAAGCCACTAAAGTAAGGGGAGAGGCAGGAGCAACACTGATGCCATTCTCAGCAGGATGGGCATGGGGCATTTGGGGGGCGGGGGTGTTGTTAGTTGCAAGCTGATTTTCTAGAATTGTTAGCAGGAAGCTGGAACCATTTCTGGAGGCTCACATGGCTTCGGGCTTCAGTCATCTCTGCTGTACATACAGCAGGGCTTTCTGGTAGTTGCCCTTGGCGTCTTGCTGGATGATGTGGTACAGGGACTTGCTGTACTTTCTCTTGAATTCAGATCTAATTTTCAACATGTGCACTTCACTGCAGGAGACCATGACCCTAACCAGGATCTTATCGCGAGTTCCCTTGCCCTTCATGGAGTCATACAGTTGGTCAGCAAAGTACCGGGGCTTGTTCTGGATACACTGGACCAGGTTCAGGAAAGCATTTTCCAAGTCTTTGACTTTCTTCTTGATGCTCTCCCGCATGTCATAAGGACTGTAGCTCTTGTACCTTTCAAATACTTTCTACAGGCGGCACACACTACGCTCTGTCATGGTACTGATCCACTTGGGCACATCAGTTCCCTTCCTCTTCACGCCAGCATCATACAGCTCCCCGGGCATCCTGGTCAATCTGCTCATAATCAATGATGGAGCCATCCTCTGCTCTTCTGCCCTTGGCGAGGGCAACCATCACCTTGCAGAAGTTCCCAGATGTGTCTGAAACAATGTTCTTCTCCAGGTTGGTCTTGTACATTTCCTTGTAGACTCTGTTGATTTTCTGCAGCTCCTGGTTGGTCCTGGAGCAGATGATTTCAATGAGGGAGTCTTCATCTGTCCCCAGCCTCTTCATGGAGGCTTTCAGCTCGGAGGTGTCATACTGAGGTGTTTTTAATAGGCCCCAAATCACTGTCTCCAGGTGGCCAGATAAAGCTGACTTCAGTGCTGATGCAAGTTCCTTTTTGGTCCTTCTCTGGTAGGTGAAGGCAATATCCTTCTTCTGTTCATTGCTGCAGTTGGTCAAAATGTTGAGGATGGTAACCTCACCCACACCTTTGGTCTTGATGGCTGTTTCAATGTTCAAAGCATCCCACTCTGCATCAAAGTTGGTGTACGCCTTGACTGACCCATACGTGCTTGGGGGTGTGGAGTGATTACCCTTCAAGCTGAGCTTGCAGAGAATTTTGTGAACAGTAGACATCTTGAAAGAAGCTGGGCCAGGCACCGAGCACTGTGAGACTCCCCACATGCAGAGCAGAGCTGGCTGTCGGGATTCCGTATCCTTAAAGCACTCAGTACTGTGCTTTCTAACACAGGCTATGGTTAGATGATAATGAATCTACCACCATCCTGCTTAAGGCAGAAACAGTCTACATAGGAGCATCTTAGTGCTTGGTACACAGTAAATACTAGACAAATATTTGTAAGAAAATAAAGAACAAGTGCTTTAGGTTTGCTATTTATTCTTATGCATTCCCCCCGTCCCCCAAAATTTAAAGTTAAGAGGTTTAAAATGTTTTCTCCCAAAATATTGTCTCTTACCTGGATGTGACCACTAGCTTCTTGTTCTTTGCTGAATGCCAGTGTGCTGAGAATATGGAAGAGTTTCCGTATTTGTTGAGGAGACAAATTATCCAGATAATCTAAGATGCCCTAAAAAAACACAAAAAACAAACAAAAAACCCCAACAAAACCCAATGATGAAGTTAGTAATTAAAATATTTTAAAACTATTGTGAAAGCCAGGTATAGGTATCTGTTCCCTAAAAGATTAAGTTCCCTAAAGCTCTGCTCAAAATTCAAAGGATTAATATCCTGGATGGAAACAGAAAGGATTCTTGCAGCTGTCTGTTTTACCATCAGAGCACAGAACCACCAAAGGGAGCTGAAGTCCCATTTGCTTTTTTCTCTGAGTAAAAGTCTTGGCTTTGACCCTCACCTGGCTTTGTCTCCTACCATTCTTCCCTGTGCTCCTGATGTGCTCTCTCCACTTTCGCTGACCTTCAGTGGAAGCAACACTCCATTAAGGCTGGTTATCTGTATTTTGTTTTTGACTGCATTATCCCTCCTCAGATTCTACTCTGTGGATGTCTTTCTACACATCTGGAGATACAAGGACACTTTTTAAAAAAGGAGATTATTTTTGACCCTGGACAAAGTATTAATTTTTCTAAGCCTCAGATTTCTTGTCTCTAGTATGTAGATGAAAAAGTATAAAAGCTCTAATTAGTCTGCAGATGAAGGTATATCTGTAAACTATTAGTCTTTTTTAGTCATTTCTTCTCAACCCACACAGAATTTCAAACTTCTTAACCTAAACAGTATTCTTCCAATCTACTTCTCTCTCAAGCTACCTTTGCTTCTTACTTCTTTGAGGTGTACTGACAATGACTCTGAAATCACTCTATTCCCCCACGCTATTGATCTCTAGCTTCTATGAATTAAAACAGTTGTCTCAGTGGTTACTGGGGCATTTTAGTCACCAAAGCCGTTTCTCCATCTTCATCCTCCACAGAACTCAACATGGTAGACAAATCCTTCCTTATTCAAATGCTCATTTTCCTGGAGACCAGTTAGCTGAAATCCTTCCAGTTCCCATTATCCATTGCCTAGTTTTCTCTTTTTCCTTCCAGAGATACTTTGCTCCAGCTTCTCCCTTACACCTTAGTGTTCTCAGAACTAGAAAGTTTTATAGAAAATCTGCCTCATTTGAGTTCACTGTTTTATAGTTAAAGAATGCCTAAACTGAATTTCCAATTATCCATTAACCATGGCTAGCACATGGATGTCCCAAAGGGAACCCATCCTATCATTTACAGAAGATGCACTTCCCTCTCAGTTTTCACATCCTAGTAAATGTCCTCATTTCTTTCTGTTAAAAAATTCAGTGTCATAAGACAAAAAATTTGGGTCTCTAGGTCTTATCAACAACCAGACCATGTTGATTAGAACACCAAACTGTCTCATGTTTCCTCTCTATCCTCATGGCCACAATTTCAGTAGTCTCCAATCCATCTACTACATGGCTACAAAGCTATCTTTGAAAGTTCAAGACATTATCCATTGTGAAGAACTGATACTTTCTGTTGTCTGTAAAATTAAGCTCAGTGAGATGCACTATGTATCTGAAAGCTGGACAATGAATATAGATGACAGAAGAATAATTGACGCCTCTGAGTTGTAGTATTGGGGAACAGCACTGAATGGATTGACAAAAGAACAAACAGATATGTTCTGGAAAAAGTGTAGCCAGAGTGCTCTTTTGAGACAAGAATAGCCAAACTTTGTCTCACATATTTTGGGCATGTTTCTAGGAGAGGCTACTACTTGGAAAGGGGCATCATACTAAGAAAGTTGGAATGTCAATGAAAGAAAGGAAGACCTGAGATGGATTGACATAATGGGCTCAAGTGTATTATAGATGAGGAGAATGGAATAAGGTTCAGATTTGTTGTTTAAAGGGTTACAGTCATATTCAACTCAACAGCACCTAACAACAGGGGCACAAAAGAAGATTCCAGTTAGAATGGGAGAGAAATGTAGACCAAAACTCAAATTCATAAAAGAGACTAGAGTTTTTGAACTAAGAGAGACTAGAAGAACCCCAAAAGCTATTATCCTAATATACCCTTTACTCTGGAACAGAAACCACTCTCAAAAGTCATCTCTCAGCCAAATAACAGACTAGCCTAGAACTGTTTAAAAGGAATAGATTAGGCATTATTTGTATGACAACAGTCCAGAATATGAGGTACATAGCAAAGTGGACTGGGGGTGGGAGAGGGGAGGAAAATGTGTAACAATGAAGAATAGAAATCCAAATTTTCTGTAAACTTTCATTAAAATCACAGTAAAATTTATAAAAAACCCCAAACAAACAAAAAGCATTCACATAAAAGCCAAGATGAGAAGACAAAATGCAACAGGGAGATTGGGGAGAGGAGAGCGTGCAGGCAAGGTGGGAATGGTGGATGGGCCAACACTGTGTTATCAGGATTATGACCATGATAAAGAACGATCTGTTTATGAATTGTTAATTGGAAATCTAATTGCTGTGCCAATGTTCACCTAAAACACTAGATGAAAGAAAATGAAAATAAAAAGTTTTTTCTCGCTCTTTCAGATCCTTCCTTCAAACACTGGCTCTGTTCTCAGTCTGACCTGTTCCCCAGACATGTGAGCCTGTTTGCTAGTCCATGGGTGTCTGCGTAGAATGCACTTCCTCTACTTAACTGAGTTATTACCACGTTTCAGAGATGACACAAATTATATCTTCTCTTTGAATACTCCTTCAGTTTCCTATTATTGTTGTTAATGCCATCATGTCAATGCTAACTCATAGCCACCTGCCCACTTGTCCATCATCATAATCACTGCTGCTGTGCTTAAGAACACTGGTGTAGCTACTGTGTCACTTTTCACTGAAGGTTCATTAGCAGATTCTTCACCAAGCTTGATGCCCTTTTCTCCAGGAACTGGCCCAAATTACCTGAGACAAGATTTCAGCATCCACATGCCTATGAGAAATTCTGGCAGCAATTCCTTCTAAAAAGATTTGTTTGCTCTTTTGGAAACATATTCAATATTCATTGACACCAAAATTTAGGCAATTCTTTGATCTTCCTTATTCACTGTCCAACTTTCACATGCATAAGTAAAAAAAGGAAAATGCCATGGCTTGGGGTCCTTAAAATGGTATTTTTGCTCCTTAACACTTTATAAAGAGGTCCTTTGCAGCAGATTTGCCCATTTGTTTGGTTTCTTGCCTGCTGTTTCTATGGGTGTTAATTATGGATCCAAGCAAAATGAAATTTTTGACTGTGTCAATCTGTTTAAGAAATCCTGGACAACTTCAATCTTTTCTCCACTTACCATGATGTTGCCTTCTGGTTCAGTTGTAACAATTTTTATTTTCGTGATGTGGAAATATGATCCATACTGAAGGCTAGTCTTTGATATTCATCAATAAATGCTTAAAGTTCTCACTTTCAACAAACAAGGATATGTTATCTGTAAAGCAAAGGCTGGGGATTTATCATCCTCCAATCTTGAGGCCTTATTCTTCTTCACACAGTCCAGTTTCTCATTTGTTCATCATATAGACTGTACAAGAACGATCAAAGAATACAACCTTGATGCACAGCTTTCTTGATTTTAAACCACGCAGTCCTTCTTCTCTTTGAACAACTGCTTCCTGGTCTATGTACAGGCTCTACATGAAAAGAAGTATTCTAGAATTCCCATATATTGCAATGCTACCTGTAATCTGTTATGATCCACACAGAAGAATGCCTCTGCATAGACAATAAAACAAAGTTAAATACCATTCTGGTGTTCTATGCTTTCAGCCAAGAGCCCTTTGACTTCAGTATCACCTCTTGTTCCACTCGCCCTTCTGGTAATTCCTTATTGATGTACTACTGCACTTGTAAATTTTTGCAATTTTGGGTATTGTGATTTGAGTGAAAGTTTACAGAGCAAAGTAATTTTTCATTCAATCATTCATATAAATTATGTCTAACATTCAATACCCATAATGTATACTTTCCCCATTTATTCACTATAATTCCGATTTTCGTTATCTTTTATGCTTTTCTGTGGCTTTCCTTGTTTAGTGATATTTACTGATCATCTGCTTATTGTTTGTAGTCTCTCCCTTCATTCATCTTAATATCTGTCTATTATCCACTCACTAATTTTCACTTCCCTCTGCCTCCTTTTCAATCCCCGATAACTATCCAACTATGATTCCTTCTTCAGTTTTTTTCTAGTAGTGGAATGCTTATCCTTTTCTGATTGACTTAACTCAGCATTATGTCCTCCATGTATTCATACTGTACAGTGTTTATTTAATTCTTGACTGTTTTTCAGTGTCCACAGTCCTCCAATGTGTGAATGCATAGTACTGTGTGAATGCAGCATAGTTTCTTTATCCATTTACTTGCTGACAGACACCTGGGTTGTTTCTTTCTCTTTATTATTGCAAATAATGCTGCAATGAACCTGAGTGTGCATACATCTCTGAATATTGGAGCACTTATTTCTTTGGGATATATACTTACTAGAGGGATTGCACTGGGAAAGTCAGCTGTGAGAGACTTCTCAAGAGTACTGAAGAGCAACGACATCAGGATGGAGAATAAGGTGCACCCGATCCAGGCTATGGTCTTTGAAATTACGTGCTATGCATCAGAGAGTTGGACAGTGACTAGGGATGATAGAAAGAGAATTGATGCCTTTGAGCTGTGATGCTGGAGAAGAGTGTTGAATATACCATGGACTGCTAGAAGAACAGACAGGTTTGTCCTGGAGAGGGTAAAGCCAGAATGCTCCTTGGAGTCAAGGATTCTGAAGCTTCGTCTGCAATACTTTGGGCGTGTTGCAAGGAGGGACTGGTCCTTGGAGAGGGACATCATATTTGGGAGAGCAGAGGGACAGCGCAGGAGAGGAAGACCCTCTATAAGATGGATCGATTCTGTAAGTGGAGTGGTGGGAATGAATGTGTTTGAGACAGCGAGGTTGGCACAGGATAGAACGGCATTTAGGGCTCTTGTACATAGGGTCGCTGAGTTGCAAGCGACTCGATGGCACACAACAACAACAGAGGGATTGCTAGATCAAATATTTCTACTTGCAACCTTTTGAGGAAGCATGAAAATATTTTCTATATACTCATTGCTCCATTTTACATTCTTAGCAACAGGGTAGGAGAGTGTCAATCTCTCTACAACCTTGTTAGCATTTACTGTTTGTTTTAGTGAATTTTCTACTGTTGCTAATGAGACAATAACTCTTAGTTGTGATCTGCATCTTTCAAATGTGATTTGCATTAGTGATAGGTAATGATATTAAGCATTTTTTTTCATGTGTTTACAGCCCATCTCAAAGTCTTCTTTGGCAAAGTATCATCTATTCATGTACTCTGCCCAATTAGTAATTCATTGGCTGTATTTTTCAAAGGGACTGACTGTCAAAAACACAGCAATCAGGCACCATGTGCAAGCCACTGAGGTAGGTACCAGCTCACAGGCCTGGCCAGGTGCAAGTGCCACTTCCAATCTCACCCCCTTTACACTCTCCCCACCCTTGCAAAACACCAGCAACTTCTGAAACTTTTAGATGACATTCAGGAAGATTTTACTTGCCTATGATTATTAATGATACTGCTCGATAATGTTCACATTCGTTTTCATCACTTTTCTTTGACATGAGCACAAATATAGATCTTTTCCTGTCAAATGGCCAGGACTTGCAAAGACCTGCCACTTACCTTGGCAAAGAAAAGTGAGCACCTTCAGTACTGCACCTATTTGTTGAAAACAGTTGAGCAGATGCTTCACCAATTCCTGTGGTGGTGCATTTCAATAATACCATCAATTTTTAAACACATGCTACTCAGGAAATGGTTGAGTATCAACCAATCCTTTTTGACAAAGTAACTTGTGTGCATTGTCCCTATCTTCTTGGGATGCTTCCTGCATCATTCAATATTTTAAGATCTTTAGGATCCTCAAGTCTTGTAACTGGAGGCTTCAATTGTTTTTTTCCTTCTTTGCTCTTTCAACTTGAGAAATTCCAAATGTGTCAAATGTGATATTCCCTTTTGGTTTTCTAACTCTAGGTCCTTGGACATTTCATTATACCTTGTCTTTTAATTTGCCCTTTGAAATCTTCTGCTCTGCTCTCTTATAATTTCTTCTGTTTGCTTTAACTCACTTATGTTCTAGAGCAAGTTATAGTATGGATATTGATATCCATTTTGGTCTCTTCTGAATGACTTTTTTTGCTTTCTTTATGTATGATGCCCTTTATGTCATCCCACAACTCAGTCATTAGTGTTTAATGCACCAAAACTACTTTTAAGACGGTCTCTAAGTTCAGGTAGTTCTGGTACCATCGCTTCCAGTATCACATTATCACCAGTGATATAACTTTCTAAACTCTGCTAACGCACCCTAAGGGAGCTGAGCTGCTAACGCAAAAGCTGTACCTCTTTGACAGTTTGAATATACTGGTAGCTTCAAAGGAAAAAGTGGACAATCTCCTTCTGTGCAATTTACAGCCTCAGAAACCCAGTGTGGAGTCAGCTATGAGATGGTTCCAGGTCAACAGCACTAAGTTAGTTTTTAAAATGAGATTACGTGATCAGCTCTCATCAAAGGAAGGATAGAGTCATCATACTACAGCACGCAAAACACAGCCTTGCACATAGTTAGGTAAAAATAAAGGCTGGTTAAATGAATTAATACTAGGTATGTTCTTTTCATACTACTTGCCTCTTTTTTCATCTGCCACCAATTACAGTGTTTGATTTTATAGAGAGAGAGAGAGAGAGAGCGCGCGCGAGAGAGAGAACGAGAGAGCGAGAAAGTGAGCGAGTGTGAGAACACACAAAATTAATTATTGCTTATAGATATAAGATAGCCCTGGCATATGTGAGGAAATAAAAAAGATTTGCTACATGTCGGAAAGAGATACCTTCACAAAGACAACATTCAGTCGCATAGCAGCGAGGTTTATAACTACCAACTCCAGGAGGACATCCAATGCAGTATCAACTTCGGTGTTATTGCCACTGCAGATATGGGCCACTAGGGCTCCAACCACTTCCTACAGAGGAAAAGATGTAATAGAGTATAAAACAAAATATAGTTTGGCCCACCTTACTTCCCCTAGCCGTGATTCTCCACACTCCCAGTACCCAGAGATGCGCTGTGCACTGACAGAGTGGACATGGGCATGGGTAGAACAATGGTGGCCAGCCTTGGGCTGGGGCTGCTGCTCATCTCCACACAGATTTGTTAAAAACTTACCATGCCACAATCAAGTCATTCTTCCCAGTCTACCTCGGTTGTTAAACTAACACTCCCACCCCCCAGGAAAGTAGGGGTCTCCCACAGTGAACAGTCAGTCTCCTTCTGGTCTCGCTCTCCCTTTTAACATCTCTACTGTTAAGACACTCAGGCCAAGAAACGCCTCTACTTCCTCATCTTCTCAACTCAATGCAAATGATGTCTAGAATCCAGTGTGGTGAGGAAAACCCAGGTCTCCATTAAATCTACTCATACGACACCTTATTTTCCTGACTCAGAAAATGTTGAGAATCTGATTTCACTGATTTGAAGAACATGTGAAGAGCTGGGCTAGATGATGAATGCCAGTATTGTATGTTTTGGAGTTCGTGTACGAGATGAAGAGTAACAACATCCACGAGTCTAGAGATGATTTCCTTAAATGTGGCCTAGGAAATCTGGACATTTTTTTTTTTTTTTTTTTTAAATCTGGACATTTAAAACAACTTAAAAAAAAAGTTTTATCAAGAAAGAAAGGATGGGGTGTGGAATGGTGATTCAAATTTAATTTTGTTAATTAAATCATTAAGGCCACAAAATTATTGTTGTTGTGTACCACTGAGTCACAACTGACCCACAGCTGACCCCTCCAGTGGGTTTTCAGAGGCAGTTAATAGCATGGGAGAACATACATCATTTTCCCGTGGCCCAGCTGGCAGAGTAGAAATGCATGCCTTCAGAATTGAAGTGAAGCTTCTTACTACTAGGCCACCAGAACTCTCTAGAAAATGATTAGGTAACATAAAAAGCTTCCATGGTTCTTTTTTTTAATTTTATTTAATAAATGCTTATATTTATAATTTTTCCTTACAAAATATCCTAGTGATTAGTTAAAATATGCCAACATCACATCTACATAGTTTTATATAATTTTAACAGTTTCAGTTTATCTTCGGCACTATGCTCTTTGACATTCATATCTCCCTCCTCATCCTCATGCTTAGGGTAAGCATATTATTGCTCGTTATTCATCCTCACACCATGGTTCTTTTTATACGTACCTGAGTAGGAACCTCCAGTTATTTCTGTAAATCCTGCATGAATTATTCTAGCAGTACTAATTTAAGGCTGTTAAGCTCTAGAGAAAGTTTTCCATTGCTATGCTATTATTGTTTTCTTGCAAACTGAACTCTTCTTTGAGGCCTTGGGTTTGACACTGCAAATGACTTTATGTAGCTGACATTAGTCAGGGAATGATAGATTGGAATGTACCCCAAACTGAAACATGAATACATTTTGCTTATACACTTATAGTCATATGGTGATTTTGGACTAGCGGCAAGAAGCTGTGCTGTAATCCTGAAGGCTTGAAGCTCAGGGTTACCAACCTCTCTGAGGAAGAAGGATGGGTAATCTCTTCCCGTGTGGTTAACTGCCTCTGAAAACCTGCCGGTGGATCAGCTCTGGGTCAGTTCTGACTCTTTTGGTATACAACAAAAACAGGAACAACAAAAGGGTAGGCATTTCACATCACCTATTCCCAGTCAACAAAAGCACCAGATTCAGTGAGCTAAACTGATTCCAAAGAGTAGGAAGTGCACTGACCTAACCAAATTTAAAAATGCTGCTTTTCATTCTGCATGCTAGGTACTGTTTACAACTTAAAAAGTCATCTGCCTGAAAGTCAAACAAACAAAAATCTTGAAATAAAAAAGGCAAATGTAAAGGAGCCAAGCAAAATGTAAATCAAGAATTTGGGAAGTGATGAATAGAAGCTAGTCTTCATTAAATGCACAAACTTTTATACTTTCTGTAAAAACTTTTAAAAAAACTTATGAATCAGAATAGTCACATCTGTATCACTTTCTCTACTAGTCAATATTTTTAGATTATCAGATCCTGGTCTTAAGGTGGGCTTGATTCTGGAAAATAAATTTTTTACAACTTCTTGATGCACAGAAACTTTCTTAAAACAGAACTTTCATGTCTTTAGTTCACACGGTCACACACTGATGCTAAGATGTTTCAGTTATCTAATCTGAACACAGTTGTTTTAAAAACCAAAGTCATTTCCCTGTCATGGTTAGAAACCTCCATATGGAAAAACAACCAGATCCAACAAAATCTCAAGGTGATTTTGTTAGATCTGGTTGTTTTTCCATATGGAGGTTGTTTTGTGTATTTATGCTTTGACTCCTAGTAACTTCTCTTGTTATGGAACTGATTTGCATTGAACAAAAACAGCTAATAAAAAGAAATGGCTGAATGCAACACACTGAGGGGATGATATGGTCTGGTCATCTTAGATGGTTAGGCCTGAAGCCACTCCACTTTCTACTTTGTTAAAAGTCACAACCACCCTATCCCACCAGATCATTTCATTACCTAGTTTAGAGTGATACTGTTTTAAAAAGACTTAGGATTACACCACTTTAACTATTCATTCTTATTTCCTATAATTTATGAATAAGCACTATCTAAGCTCTTCTGGTTTGCTTCTTGTCCTCTTTCTTTTTCTCAAAGGTTAAATTTTAACATTCACATTTTTATTCCAATTAGGACATTGCTGAAATCTCTTGAAATCATGGCATTCAAGTAGCTAAAAGTTTTAATGGTCTTCCCTATATAGCACGTTAGACCTATGTGTTTCTACGCAATAAGAGGTCATTGTTGCTGTGTACCATAGTCAGAACTGACCCATAGCTCTGAAACCCCTCCAATGGGTTTTCAGAGGCAGTTCATTGCATGGGAGGAGACTGCCCATTATTCTCCCAAGGAGCAGCTGGTAGATTTGAATTGTGTGCCTTCAGGATTGCAGTGCAGCTTCTTGCCACTGGGCCATCAGAGTTTAATGATGCTAAAACTTAAAGAGGGCTCAAAAATGTTTCAGGCACCACTTTCCCTTTCCTTTTCTGCTCCATAGAGAGTCATGTTTTTTCCTTAACTGAAGTTGCTATCTCATACCAGCTATAACCATTGCTATTTTAACCTTAAAAACAGTTCTCATTTTTAGAAGTTTGACTCAGGTGTCCTAACATTGTAAACTGCAGACATAGGAACAGAAACAAAATAAGAGACTTTATTCTTTACTCGTTTTCATACTTCTCTGTTTAAGTGCTATTAAATTTTGCATCTCATAGTCATGAGAGTAGATTTGCTGCTATTGTTGTGTGCCATCAAGTTGAATCCGACTCAGAGCTTACCTTCCAGTGGGTTTTCAGAGGCTATAAATCACACAGGAAGAGACTGCCCAGCTCTTTCCTGAGGAGCAGCTGGTGGATTTAAACCATGTGCCCTTGGACTGGCAGAGCAACTTAGGCCCCTGGAAAAAGTCCTCAAGGATTTCTCCTTAGTTTGTTTCCTTTCAAACTTTCCTCCATCATATTTTGGAATAAACTAGAAGTTAATCATTTTCAGATAAACTTTAAAATCACCTAATAATCCCAGCCCCTTAAAGTTTGTTTGAAGTAAACTGGGCCTGGGACTTAATTTTAGGTTCAGAAGATATGACAGCTCAGGCCATCACGGCTGTGTCATCAAGGCTAGGCCTGTAGCTGAGCTCCCCCACCCTTCATTCGGAGTTCTTTCCCCTTCAGTGCTTTCCAATTGAGAAATTCCCCCTATCGCCCTCCAAAATACTTCAACCCCTTTAGGCAACTTCCAATTCACTTGGAATTGCATTTTCTTCCTTTCCCTCAAAAAAATGCCAAAATAAGTATTTCAACATACCTGCTGGCAGTAAGTGTCAAAAAATTTAAATGCATATTTGTATAGGAAACTGCCAAAAGAATTGACACTTTGGTCTAGGGAGTGCAATAAATTCTGAGCCAGCAACAGGATGGATGGACAAATATCCTTAAGAACCTGTAATGGAAGAAAAGAAAGAAACAAAGTTGTAGGAGAAACCTGTCATTACAGCACCTGAAAGTTGCTCACTTTTTTGGATATCATAGTTCTATTCAACTATCCTATTCAGAAATCTTAATCTTTATTTTCTCAGAATAAATCCTTTCTATTCAAAGTTTTCTCTCAGTACAATGAGATTCAACACATGCCTAAGATAAGCATGTTGTTATGTGCCATCGAGTCACATGTGTAACAGCTCTGAATGCTGTCCTATTACCAAGCCAATCTCACTGTCTCCGACACTCCTATCCCTATCACCCCAGTCAGTGTCAGTCCATCTCATCCAGGGTCTTCCTCTCCTGTGTTGTCCCTCCACCCTTCCAAGCATGATATCCTTCACCAAGAACTGGTCCTTCCTAGCAACATGCTCAAAATATGTGAGATGTAGCTTCAAAATCCTTGCCTTCAGATAGCAACTTGATTTTACCCACTTGTTTGTTCTCTTGGCAGTCCATAGACTCTTCTCTAGCACAACTCAAAAGTATATATTATTCTTTTGTCATCCTTAGTCATTCTCCAGTTTCCAGATAACTTAGCAAGGAACTGTGAAGACCATGGCCTGGATGAGGTGCACCTCTCTCTCGACTGACATCTTTGCACTTCACCACTCTGGAGAGGGCCCTGACAGCAGACTTTTCTAATCCAATTTGTCTTTTGACTTCCTGGCTGCTGGTTCCAAGAGTGTTGATTGTGGACCCAAGTATGCTGAAGTTGTTAGTAATTTCAATCTCTTTTCCATCTATTGTGGTGCTGTCAGTTACCCCAGTGGTGAGAATCTGTTTTCTTGATGTTGAACTTCAATCCATATTGAAGACTATAATCCTTAACTTTCTGTAATAGATTCTTCAGGTTCTCCTCAGTTTTAGTGAGTAAGGTTGTGTCATATGGGTATGAGTCCTCCTCCAACCCTCATGCCACATTTCTCCTTATAAAGACCAGCCTCCTGAATGATCTGTTACACATATGGTAGATTCAAAAGGTATAGCAAAAGGATGCATTCCTGATGCACTCCTTTCCTGATTTTAAACCACACAGTGTTTCCTTGCTTTGTTCTGCTTCCTGGGCCAAGTATAGATTTCGCATGAGAACAATCAGGTGTTCTGGGATTCTCATTCTTCTCAAGGTTAGCCACAATTTGTTGTGATCCACACAAATGATTTTGCATAGTTAATGAAACAGATAGGTAATTCTTCTGATACTCTCTGCTTTCAGCCAAGATCCATCTAACATTGGCAATGATGTCCCTAGTTTCTTGGCCTCTTCTAAACCCAGCCTGTACTTGGCTGTTCTCTGTTGATACACTGTTCTAGTCATTTTTGGATAATCTTCAGAAAGATTTTGCTTGCATGTCACCTTTTTTGGAATGCAAATACAGTTAGCTGGCTAGGTTGCTGTCCTTTGGATTTCTTGGCAAAACTTGGTGAGCACATCAATTGGTATTCCATCAATTCCTGGGGCTTTGGTTTTGCCAGTTCCTTCAAAGCAGCTTGAACTTCCTCCATCATCACCATTGCTTTTTGGTCAAATGCTGTTTCATGAAATTCTCCTCTGTCAGCCAAATCTTTTGGGTACAGCATTTCTGTGTACTCCTTCCATCTTGGATCATTCAATATTCTGCTCATAGCATCTTTAAGTATTGCAACTCAAGGATAAAATTTGTTCTTCAGTTCCTTCAGCTTAAGAAATGCCAACTGAGTTAATCCCTTGTGATACTCAACTCCAACTCTTTGCACATTTCGTTATAATACTTTGTCTTCCTGAGCTGTCCTTGGCTTCTTGACACTCTAGTGCAATACTCAGAGGCTCTTATTAAAAAAAAAAGAAATTATTATTTTTGTGTGTGTGCCATCCAATCAGATCTGACTGGTACAGGAGGTTCCCCTCCTTCTCTAGCAGAGCATCTGGTGAATTTGAACTGTTCACCTCTGGGATTGCAGTTCAGCTTCCTGCCACTAAGCCACAAGAGCTTCCACTCAGAGGCTCTTTTAACATCTCAGTCTTTTGTTCCTCCTTTGTCTTTGTAATAAGCTTTTACATTCATCATGGATGATATTCTTGATATCCTCCCACAGTTCACCTAGTCTTCATTCATTAGTTTCCAAGGCTTCAAACCTGATCCTGATAGGGTCTTTAAATTCTGGTGGGATACTGAGGTTAAATTACATGCTTGAGCTGAGACTAGAACCCAGATCATCTAAATTCTAATGTTTTCACTCTGCCATACTGCTGCTTCCCTGGGAATGAGATGGGCCTGTTCTGCCTTGGTTATGATTAAAAATCTATAAAGTTCAATATTAACCGATTACTTCTGAAGACAAAGAAGAGAACTGGTCATAACCTACTAGAAATGTAACAGTAAATAATAAGTTATTAAGTTCAGCTTCTTTACTGGTATCATAAAAACAGTAATAAATCTTATATTAAATATTAAGCAGGATGTAATGCTCTTTTGGAGAAAAGGCAATAAAAAAAGTTATGTATGGTTTCTGTCCCCTGAAGAATTACAAACAACAGTATATACAATTGTCAGAGGTAAGCATACAAAGGACTTAAAATAATACACGCACTAATTCCATTCTTGAATATAAAATCTTTTTTCTTTCTTTTTTTATTCCTTTATTTGAATATAAAATCTTAAAAGTAAACCACGTATTTTCTTAGTTCCTAAGCCAAGCTCTAAATCACTAGTTTATCCATCATTCTAAGAAGGTCTACACTGTTAATGTCCTGCATATTCACTCAGCAAAACACTACTGCCAGCTTAGAAAATTCACTGAGGACTGCTGAGCTAGGATTTGCAGGTTAAATGGTCAAAATAACAATGATTCTATAGATTCAAATGTTCATCTCAATTGTCATCACTCTAGTTGAATTACCTTCACAGTTTTCTAAACTAGAAGAGGGCACAGTAAGCAGGTCTGTCAAAACCTTAGGTCACACAGAGATAGACAACTTAACAGGAAACTACGGTAACAAAAATGACAAATGCAAAATTATGATTCAGGAAGCCTTACACAATGAGGTCAAACTAACAAGAACCAAATTAACAAAAATAATTCAACACGTAAGAATGCAATCATTTGGTGTCTTATGGAGGTATAGTTTCCCAGTTTAGATTGAAAAAGTTAAGCTATATAAAAGGACTTAATCAGGAAGGCCAGAGTTTAAAACTATTCTCATAAAATAAGGTTTGCGTCAACCAGGTTCAGCATAAAGCAATTTCATTGCTTTTTTGCTAAAAATGGTAAAATGAGTTCCTAATGTTGGTTTTATTAACATTCTAATATCTCAATTAAGGAAATACTACTACTATTATTTCTAAATATATGGAGCTCCCTACCAAAGAGCATCACTCACGAAGAGTGTTAAGATCTCCAAATTGAGCAGCAAAGGTTAAAATTACTTGTCACTTTAGACTCCTGTTGGCTGATTCTCTCTCCTGACACTTACCAAAGAGTGAGCACTAAACGTACTCTGCAGCAGCTGCTCTTGAATGCAGCCTGACCGAACTTTGTTTCTTAGCACTCTTTCAATGGACTTCTTTGTCTGAGTGTTCGTGCTATACATGATGAGAAGCATCACCATGTCTAAAATCTAGTATAAATAAAGACACAGAAAAAAACCACATTATAAATCAATATATTTACCTCAATGAAAGGGCAGCTCTCAACTTCTCCCCGTTAAAACACAGAAGGGATAGTATTTGTTGCTCAACTACCATAGGAATAGCTATGCATTTTCTGCCACAAAATCCAGAAATATTTTTCGGGGAAATAAAATACCACAAATACTAATTAAATACTATTATCTCTTACTCAAGAAAACACTGGAATATAAATGGAAAAGTGATATAATGGAAACAACTTTAAACACTATTACATTTATGTAAAGAGAGGAAAATATATTAATTTGCCTCTTAAAAGCAACATATATTTTCACTGTTGTTAAGAACTGACTCAAAGGCAGGAGGTTTTGAAAGGGAGTAAATTCCACTAGAGGAGACTGTCCACCATCTTCCTTGAGAGAAGCTGGTGATTTGAGCTATTGTTAAGAAAACGGCGGTGTGAAAAGCTGTCAGGATTTTAAGTGACCCTACATTATGAAACAGTAATTTTTTTGAATACTGTATGTCTATTAAATAGAAAACAATAGATCTTCATTTTTTTATAGAGAAAGGATATTGGTAACATACTGTAAAATGGGGGAAAAACCCCCTCCACACAAAGAAAGTACTATCTTTGATACAATGAAAAAAGGTAAACTGTTTACTACAGATCAGTAGGTCAATATAAGCAAACTTGTGCTTATCTTATTTATTGGAATATCTGGTGGCCAGTGGTAAGACATTGCACTGCAATCCCAAAGGCATGTGGTTCAAATCCATCAGTTGCTCCATGGGAGAAAGATGGATAATCTCCTCCCATGGGATTCACTGTCACGGACTCTCTGGGGGGTCAGCTATGGATTGGTTCTGACTCAACGGTACACAACAACAAGCGGAGATAGGATATTTTAACAGAACTTTAGTGTAACTGGTTGGGTATGTTAGTCTTTGCCCTTATGGATAGTTTATGCTTCTACTGCTGGCAGAGTAGCTGAATAAGAACAGACCATCTGGTAAGTTATTATCCCATCTTCCCCACTTGGAATATTACCTTGTGTTCAGACACTGAGGAAATGTTCTCAATCACCTGAAAAAATAAGGGTCACAAAACTATTAGAATACAATAGTGGAACACATTTTACCTTATTTTACAAGTAGCCCTTTCTCTTGCTTGTGAGTCAATCTGTCCATCTAGCAATTAACATCTCTCACTTCTACTTGAATGGCTTTCAAGATTCTTATTTCCATCTATTTTCATTCACACATCACTTCAGGGTGATGGATCACACTAACTAGAATGTTAGCAATTCAAACTCACCCTGTGGCACCTCAGAAGACAAGTCTGGAGATTTGCTTCTGAAAGGCAACAATCTCAAAAGCCTCATGGCACACAGTTCTGTTCTCGTATCATCATGAGTTGGAATCGAGTGGACACTAGGTGGTTGTTTTGTTTTTCACTTCGTAGATATGTCACTGATTGTTACCTCTTTAACATTCAAACGATATCACTCACCTTAATCCATGCCTCGGATATGGTTTTTTCGTATCTAACAGCTGATTTTATGACATCAAAGAGGAGAAGGACATAGTTCTGATTGCTGTTCTCTTGATTTCCTGAAGAACTACAAACAGTATGGAGAAAAATTATTCTTTCATTTCTCACAGAGGAGCCTGTGCAATCTGAGCTCCTGTGTCTGGGAGCAAGTCACAACCACACCTCGAAACTAACTAACTTGTACTACATTTTACCTAAGATTGACTCAACCAGCTGAGATAGCAGAGAGAAAGAGGATTTGAAAATATGTACACTAATTATACATGCATGTGGCATTGCTGCCATTTGGGATGAGAGTCAGAAAACATTCCTGACTGCCTGAGTTCTATACCTTGTTCGTCCACTACTTTTCAACTTGCTTTGGGAAGCCTGCAACCGCGATGGCAAAACACAATGCTGCAGATCCAACTGTTCCCGAAGCTCAGAAATTACCTGCAGAAAGTAAATATTAACCATTTGTTTCACTTCTTTGTGGTGGATTTGCACAGCTAGCTTTACAACAACCTCTTGAAAGATGAAGAAGAGAAATGATTAAATGTTGAACAGGCATTTTGACAGAGAGAGCTGATGCAAGGATAAGGTGTCATACTCTTCTAAATTCTAGGAATCCTTTGAGAAACTAAACAATAATAAACATAATCTGTAGCGGTTAATGTGTACCAACAGGTCTCATTAGTAGAGCCATTCTCTCCACTGATAGCTATCTGAATGAATAAGCATTATCAATCCAGAGAAAAGCAAGTGAAACCCATTAATTTAGTTCATTAATGCTGATCTAACATTACCTAGGTTTCAAAATGGCATCACTAGCATTCTAGTACTCCAGGCTATACAAGTATCTGATAGGATATAAGGAGATACCTGAATAGCATCTGTGGCTGTTAGGTCATGAAGAATGAATTTGAGTATCACAGGCAATTCTTCTAATTTGACAGCTGATAGCTTACCCATCACCAATCGGCGGACCTAAAAATTAAGGCACAAAAGCTGCAAGTATTTTTATTTAATACAACATATTATTAACATATTTAGTAAAATGAGAAAAACCAGTTTTTCTCGTTCAATGTTACCCCTGAAATTTCAGAAGATAAGTTCTCTTGTTTTTCTTCAAATTATGTTTCAACTGCTAATGCCAGTTTCTTTAAAAAATGGACATCTGACAAATATTAATTACTGTTATTAGCATACATTTTAGAATCTAAATTCCCTACTGCCTGAAAGGAGGCATTAGAAAATGTTAACTGTAGGGAGCTCTGGTGGCCTAGTGGCAAGAAGCTGCACTGTAATCCTAGAGGTATGCAGTTCAAATCCACCAGATGCTCTGCTGGAGAAGGAGGGGCAATCTCCTCCTATACTAGTCAGATCTGATTTGAGAGTACACACACAAAATATAATGAATTTTTTTTAAGAAAAAAATGTTTATTTTCTGGAAAATCATGCAAATATTTGGTAATAAAGAATATTTCTAATAACAACTTATTGCTTTCAACAGATCAGTGGATCTATTACATGAAATCAATAAAAAAGAAATAAATATCATTCAATTTCATTCCAAAATAAAATTTTATTATGAACAATTTCTCCCAAAGGCAATGGCTGATACTCGATCCAACAGAACTTCTAGCTGGCTTGGTTCTGAACAGCAGGATCTCTTTACCTTAGACAAGAGCTTTGGATCAAGCTGGAGGCTGGAGAGAACATCCAGGATTGGAACTGTGAGTGGCGTATTCTCCAGCAGAAGGTCACTATGAATGGGAGAGAGAGGAGAAATTGTCTAATGGTTTTAACAGAGATGGGAAAAATGCAAGAAATTCACAAGAGTTTGGGAAGAGAAGATAGATGTAGAACATGAAATTACTGTTAATATATTTCATAAAAATTATTTTTATTACAAAACCCCCCAATCATAAATATCTAAACACATTAAGTAAATTAAAAAGCAAGTATTAAAATAAAATGGAAACAAAAAACCTTTCCTGATTCTTCTTACTATCCACTTTAGTTTGTCATATGTTGTTGATATTGTTGTTGTTAAGTGCCGTCGAGTCGTAGATGACTCAAAGCGACCCTATGAACAAGAGACTTGAACACTTGTATAACTTTCATTGTTTTTCCAAGTTCATAGGGTTTCCAAAGGCAAATTATTTCGCAAGTGGATGCCACTCCTACTTCCAAGCTTGTTTTAATTGGGGAGCTCCAACAATCACTGTCCATCATCACATTTGACACCTCAGTGTCATAGAGTTCAGCATCACAGAAACCATGAGTTAACGCTGTACAGCAAATGGGCAGACCAGTGCTAACAAAAGAAAGAAACCTTAGAACTACAAAAGTGCGAGAGGCACAATAGATACATGTCCAGGGTGTGACAGCAGAATGAATTCTAGCAGAAATATAGAAGGACAAGCTACAATTAAAGTAGGTGGTATGGACCCCAGAGGGTCTGTCCAAAGTCATAAATAGAATAAATTCCTAGATATTTTTTGAGGTAGCTTTGTAGATGTCAAAAAAAAGTATATTTTAAATGGAATGATTTTTTTAACTGCTTCTATGATATCCAGGCAATGGTGATAAAGGAGAAAGTTCAAATTGCTCTGAAGGAATCAGCAAAATACAAGGCCCCAGGAACTGATGGAATACCAATTGACATATTTCAACAAACAGATGCTGCCCTGGATGTGCTCACTAGGTTATCCCTAGAAATCTGTAGAACTCCTGGCCAATTGACTGGAAGAGATCCATATTTATTCTCATTCCAAAAAACGGTGATCCAACACCATGAATATTATTAAACAATCTCAATAATATCACACACAAGCAAAATCCTGCTGAAGATCATCCAAAAACAATTGGAATAGTACATCGACAGAAAACTGCCTTGAACTGCCTCCTGCGTATAAAGGAGGCCATGGCCCAGGGACATCATAGCCAATGCCAGATGGATATTGGCTGAAAGAGAACCAGAAAAATGTCTATCTGTGTTTCATTGACTTTGCAATGGCATTTGACTGGTTGGATCACAACAAATTGTAGGTGGCTAAACTTAATGAGAATGGGAATTTCAAAACACCTGATTGTGCTCATGCACAGGACTGGAGAAAGAATGTTGCAGTTACTCCAGGACCTAAAGTGCTTGCTGCAGAAGGTCAAGGACTGTAATCTTCAGTAAGGATTGAAGTTCAACATCCATGACAGATGGAGATGAGACTGAGATTGTTAACAATTTAAATTTACTCAGGTCCACAATCAACACTCTTGGCACCAGCAGTGAGGAAATCAATAGATGAATTTAACTGGGAAAATCTGCTGTCAAGGACCTCTCCTGAGTGCTACAGTAAAATAATGACAATCTAGAGAAGAAATTGTTCGTGATCCAGCCACAGTTTGCAATTACTTGCTATGCATCAGAGAGCTGGACAATGGCTAAGGATGACAGAAGAGTCAATGCCTTTGTGTTGTGTTGTGGGAGAAGAATGTACCATGGGCAGCTAAAAGAACAAAACGGAATGTCCTAGAGAGGGTGAAGCCAGGTTATTTCCTAGAGGCAAGGATTTTAAAGCTTTATCTCACATACTTTGGGCATGCTGAGAGGAAGGACCAATTCGTGGAGAAGGACATTAAGTCTGGCAGGAGAGAAAGACCCTGGATAAGATGGACTAACACAGTAACTGGAGTAATGGGAGTAGGTGTGTTGGAGGCAATGAGATAGGCTCAGGATAGGGCGAGGTTCAGAGCTATTGCACAAAGGGTAGCTATTAGTCATCGGTTACTCATAATAATGCAACATAGCACATAACAAAAGTAACAACATGATAATCAAGAAGCTGCTTTAAGGAAAAAAGTTCTCTAGTTTCCTATTACTATCTTCTTTGAAAACCATGAATGGTAGACATGGCATGATGAAGGAAATGACTTAGAATTAATCATCTAAGGAACAAAGGAATGTGAATTTTTAATCTCCATCATTGCCATCAAATTGGAAATGACCCACAGTTGACCCTCCAGCAGGTTATCAGAGCTATAAATCGCATGGGAGGAGCCTGTCTGTTTTTCTCCCTCAGAGCCTCTGGTGGATTTGTTAGATCCACCAATGAGGCATAGCCTTTAGTTTAACAGAGCAACTCCCTACAGATTACACCACAAATGAGTCTCATGTGCAACCAAGATTGAGGTCCCCTTGGTTAGAAGGGAACTACTAATAAAAATGTAGGGACTATGTTCAAGTTCTCCAAAGACAAAATTCACATATCTAATCCAAATATTTATTCTCATTCCAAAAAAGATGACATGACAGAGTATGGAAATTATCAAACAATAATGTTATAATGCTTACCCATGGTGGACAGTGTTTGGTGGAGCTCCCAGTTTAAGACAGGTTTGGAAGGAGTGGCATCCACTTCCTAAACATACCTCTGGAAACTATGAACTTTGATAAATGACATAGTGCTAGAAAGGCTTCAGGCCTTTTGTTCACAGGGTCACTATGAGTCGTGCTTGACTCGATGACATTCAACATCATCATCATCACTAATATCACACACAAGCAAAATCCTGCTAAAGATTATCCAGAAATGAGTGGAACAGTACACTGACAAAGAACTGCCAGAAGTACAAGCTGGGTTTAGAAGAGGTTGTGGTGCTAAAGACATTATTGCCAGTGTCAGATGGATCTTGGCAAAAAGCAGAGTTCTAGAGGGATGTCTATCTGTGTTTCATTGACGATGTGAAGGCATTTGACTTTGTGGATCACAACAAATTGGCTAACCTTCAGGAGAATGGGAATCCCAGAATACTTAATTATGTTTATTATGTGAAACCTATACTTGGACCAGGAAGCAAGGAAACACTAGACGGTTCAGAATCAGGAAAGGTGTGCGTATGGGATGCATCCTGTCTCCATACCTTTTTTTTTTTTAACTTTTCTAACTATATGCAAAACAGATCATTCAGGAAGCTGGGCTTTATGAAGAATGTGGCATCAGAATTGGAGGAAGACTCATCAACAACCTACATTATGCAGATGATACAACCTTGCTTGCTGAAACTGAGAAGGACCTGAAGTGCTTACTTCAGGATTATAGTCTTCAATATGGGTTGAAGCTCAACATCAAGAAGACAAAGATTGTCATCACTGGGCCAATTGGCAGCATCATGATAGATGGAGAAGAGACTGAGGTTGTTAACAATTACAGCTTGCTCAGCCCCACAATCAACTTCTTGGCACCAGCAGTCAGGAAATCAAAAGATGAATTGAATTAGGAAAATCTGCTGTCAGGGATCTCTCCAGAGCACTGAAAAGCAATGATGTCAGTCTAGAGACTAAGGTGTGCCTGATTCAGGACATGGTCTTGGCAAATACTTGCTATGCATCAGAGAGCTTGAAAATTACTAAGGATGACAGAAGAATCAATGCCTTAGAATTGTGGTGCTGGGGAAGTCTTAAACATACCATGCATCACCAAGAAAATAAATAAGTCTGTCTTGGAGAGAGTGAAACAAAGTTTCTCTTTGAAGGCTAGGATTTTGAAGCTTGGAACAACTAGAGCAGAATAAAGCAAATGTGCAACAATGAATGAATGAGACCTGCAGTAATTCCAAAGTGTGGTTAGAAAAAGAAGTAAAATCCCATGTTCTACCCATAGGAAATAGTTTATGTCATCTTCTATTCCAAAGATTATTATGTTTTTGATGAAGGTTTACATAGCATTTATGTTTCCATTCAATTATCACAAAGAGTAAACATTCTCATTATTTTTTATTTTTATTGTGATTTTAACAAAAGTTTACAGAAAAGTTAGATTTTCATTCATTCATTCATTGTTGCACATTTGCATTATTCTGCTCTAGTTGTTCCATTTCTATTAGTCTAGTTTCCATGCCTTTGTACCTTCTCATTTTTATTTTAAAGTAACTGTCAACCATTCTGTCAAAGAATTTTTTTAAAGGAGCATGGTACACACATGTGACTCCTGATTTTGTGAGCTAAGCAGTTATTTAACTAACAGACGATTTCAGTAGCCAGTTTTGGTTTAAGGTTTAAATAGTTTCTCAGGGCAATAATCTTGAAAAATACCCCAGTTACAATCAGTTCAGTTAGTTTGGATTAACAAGTTTGAGACTGTTTCAAATGTTTTCCTACTCGATATATATTATGACTCTAATCAGAGTAAGAATAAGCTGGGTTCCATTTAATTCTAATTCAAAGTTGCTGAGGTTGTGGTTTGCATAGACTAGTATTATAGAGTAGTACAGACTACATCATTCTCTTTATATAAATATAAGAATATAAATACATTACTGCTACTCTTTTGCACTGTAGTGCTATAGCTCTTGGGTGGAGCTGTGTTACCTACCTGAGTTCTCTTCCCACATCAGCGTGCTGGGAATCCCCAAGAATCTCAGGTAGGCTGATGATGAAGTCGTGTTGTAGAGCCCCAGGAGCAACGCTGATCAGCTGCATGATCTTAGTGGTGAGGTCCTGCAGTGGAGACATTATTAGTAGTGTACCTCATTACCTAGAGTATCACCTACTGGTGAAGGTAACCAGACAAGAACGTGGAAATTACTGAACAATATCACATGCAAGCAAAATGCTGCTGAAGCTAATCCATAAACAAATGGAATAGTACACTGACAGAGAACTGCCAGAAATACAAGCTCAGTTTAGAAGAGGTTGTGGCACTAGAAACATTATCAACAATGTCAGATAGATCTTGGCAGAAAGCAAAAAGTACCAGAGGAATGTCTGTGTTTCATTGACATTTGGTATTTGATTGTGTGGATCAAAACAAATTGTTAACCTTGAGGAGAATGGGAATTCCAAAATACCTGATTGTGCTTATGCGAACCCTATACTTGGACTAGGAAACAGTAGTCAGAACAGTCAGAATAGAGCAGGAAAACACTGCATGGTTCAAAATCAGGAAAAGTGTGCCCAGGGATGCATCCTGTTTTCATACTTTTACAATCTATATGCTGAACAGATCATTCAGGAAGCTGCGCTTTATGAGGAATATGGTATCAGGATGGGAGGAAGATTCATCAACAACCTACGTTATGCGGATGACACAACCTTGCTTGCTGAAACTGAGAAAGACCTGAAACGCTTACTTTAGGACTGTAGTCTTTAATATGGACTGAAGCTCAACATCAAGACAAAGATTCTCAGCACTGGGCCAACTGGCAGCACTCTGATAGATGGGGAAGAGACTGAGGTTGTTAACAATTACAGCTTGCTGGGCCCCACAATCAACACTCTTGCCACCAGCAGTCGGGAAATCAAAAGATGAATTGAATTAGGAAAATCTGCTGTCAGGGAATCTCTTCAAAGTACTGAAAAGTAATGATGTTAGTCTAGAAACTAAGGTGTGTCTGATTCAGGCCATGGTCTTTGCAATTACTTGCTATGCATCAGACTAAGGATGACAGAAGAATCAATGCCTTAGAGTTGTGGTTCTGGAGAAGAGTCTTGAACATACCAAGAAAAATAGGTCTGTCTTGGAGAGGGTGAAACCAAGTTTCTCCTTGGAGGCTATGATTTTGAAGCTCTATCTCATATACTTCAGGCATGTGGCAAGGAGATCTATCCTTGGAGAAAGGCATCATGCTCAGAAGCATGGAGGGACAGTGCAAGAGAGGAAGACCCTGATGAAATGGATTTATAGAGGAACTGGGGCAATGGGGGTAGGTGTGCAGCAATCAGTGAGACTGGCTCAGGAAAGAGCAGGCTTCAGAGCTGTTGTATATAAGGTCACTATGAGTTGCAGCTGACTCAAGGGCACATAATACAATAACAACAACAACTACTACTACTACTAATGGTGAAATGCAAAGCTAAAATTATTTTGTGTCTAATATGAAAAACAAAGAATACATAGACTCAAGCTCAAAGTTTTGGTGGTCAACGGCACAGAAAATGTCATCCATGAAAGGCATATTTTTAAAAAAGTAGACTCTCACCTTAGAAAAATTAATTATATATGGTTATAGGAGTAGTATTTCTAAATACGGTTCAAGAGAAGAAAAAAATCAGTAAAATCTGTCACATAAGGAAAACACTAAGGAAAACAGCCACATGATCATATTAATTAATGCATAAAGGGTATCGGATAAAATTTAGCATCCTTTCCTGGTAAAAACACTCAACAAAAAGGGACAGAAGGGAAAATTCCACAGCATAATTAATAGTATATTTCCTAAACTGACTCTCAAAAAAAGAGAAATTGAAAGTACTTTTGCAGATGGGAACCAGACAAACATGCCCTTTATGACCACTTTGACTAGCCACCACCTTACAGTATGACTCTCCTGGTCAGTAAGTTTTCCTTTTCCAATTAGTGGAAACTATTATCTTTCAGTCTGTCTCCAGGTAAATTTTGCAGTTTGTCTATTCACACGAATCTTGAGGGATTTTCTTTGTAGGGACAAAACCCCAACAGTGGGCAAGCCAAAATCCAGGAGACCAAATAACTCCAGGAAGATCTCTACATATGGGGAAATATGGGAGGAAAGAAGAGGAAAATCTTAGGATGGACTTTGGCATCCATGGGTTCCCTTAATTTGCTTGACAAGAGGAATGTGGACTGGGGGGAGTGAGTATAGAGAAGCCTGAAAACACTCAAGGTTTATTAGAACTCCTGCACAGTGCAGGAGTTGGGAAGACCAAATAAGGCTCGTCAGTGCTGGCTGCCACTGTAGTCAAGTGGGTGCTCTGTGTGGTGAAATCCATTACTAAAGAGGAGATGGCTGCACCGAGCATGTCCGGGAAGTTGTCGGGATCATACAAACTTGTAGAAAAGTTATCTCCTGCTTGTAGACTTCAGCATGTTAAACTTTAGTAGTCTAACTAGAGAGAAAAGAAGGTTCAGGCTTCACCAGAGTGCTCAAAAGGATCTGAAGTCATTAAGAGTGGGGTCCAGGGGAGGGTAGAGAAAATAGTGCAACAATGAATGAATGGAAACCCAGAATCTCTGTAAATGTTCATTAAAATTAATAAAAATTAAAAAAAAAAACAACAAACAAACAAAAAACCCCCCTCCCAAACAAAAATTAAAAAAAAAGAGTGGGGTCCAATACCTTACCACTAAACTAATAGAGCTCCCTTATTTGTCAATGTTGTTGTTATGTGCTGTGGAGTCCTCTGGGATTCATAGCAAAGCTATGTACAATAGCTCTGAACCCTGACCTATCATGAACCAATCTCATCGTGTTGGACCTAATCGCATTTCTCTAGTTAACTGAGTCAGTCCAACTCATCCTGGGTCTTCCTCTCCTGCGCACTATCTCCATCCTTCCAAGAATGATGTCCTCTTCTCCAAGGACATGTAACCAAAATGTATGAGATAAAGCTTCAAAATCCTTGCCTCTAGGGAGAACCTTGCTTTCAGTCTCTCTAGGATTGACCTGTTTGTTTTTTTGGCAGTCCACGGTATGTTCAACACTATTCTCCAGCACCACAACTCAAGCATCAATTCTTAGTCTATCATCCTTAGTCATCATCCAGCTCTCTGATGTAATGCACGTAACTGTGAAGACTATGGATTATATCAGGTGCACCTTAATCTGCAGACTGATATTGTTGCTGCTCAGTACTCTTGAGAGGTTCCTGACAGCAGACTTCCTCAGTGCAATTTGTCTTTTGATTTCCTGATTGCTAGTACCAAGCGTCAATAATACTGTTTGATAATTTCCACATTCAGCTGGATCACCTTTCTTGGTAATAGGAACAAATATAGACATCTTCCAATCTGGTAGCCAGACAGTCGTCCTCCAAATTTCCTGGCATAGCCTGGTGAGTGCATCTGTTAACTGAACCAAGTCAATCAACATCACATCGATTCCTGGAGCCTTATTTTTTGCCAATGCCTTGAATGTAGCTTCCACCTCCTCTTTCATTATCATTGACTCCCCTTCATCTGGTATTTCCTGAAATGTTTCAGTGTCAATTAATTCTTTCTGGCATAGTGACTCTGTGTATTCCCTCCATTTTCTTTGGATGCTTTCTGTGTCATTCAATATATTTCCTACAGCATCCTTCAACATTGTGATACTAGGAATACATTTGTTTTTCAGTTCTTTGAGCTTGAGAAATGCACAGTGATTTCCTCCATTTGTATTCTCCAATTTCAGCTCTGTGCACATTCCATTATAATACTTTGCTCTGTCCTCCTGAGCTGCCCTTTGAAACCGTCTGTTCATGTCTTTTACTTAGACATGATTTCCTTTAGATTTGGATTCTCGATGTTCCAGTGTAGTCTTTATATAGAGTCTCTTCTAACCTCCATTTTGGTTTTTTCTTTCTGTTTCTGTAATGACCTTTTGCTTTCTTCATGGATGATATCCTTAATATTATCCCACAACTCATCTAGTATTCTATCATTGGTGTTCAATGCTTAAACCTATTCTTAAGATGATCATGAAATTGTGATGGAACTGATTCAGGATCATATCTGTGGACTTATTTTCATTTTCTTTGGCCTCAATTTAAACATGAAAATGAGTAATTGATAATCTGACCCACAGCCTGCCCTTGTCCTAGTTTTGACTGCTGATATTGAACTTCTCCATGATTTCTTCCACAAATGTAGTCAATCTGATTCCAATGCAGCCTATTGGGTGGAATCCATGTGTAAAGTCATCTTTTGTGTCTTTTAGAAAAAAATATTGGCATTGAATAAATCATTGCAAATACAAAATTCACTCTTTCTATTTCCAGCCTCATTTCTATCACCAAGTCAATGTTTTCTAACTACTATTCCTTCTTCATTGTTTCCTACCTTTGCATTCACATGCAAGCAAAATACTACTGAAGATCATTCAAAAATGGCTGGAGCAGTACTTAGGGAACTGCCAGAAGTTCAAGTGGGATTATAAGAGGCCATGGCACCAGGGATATCATCACTGATGGATCCTGGCTGAAAGTAAGGAATACCAGAAGAATGTCTATTTGTGCTTTGTGACTATGCAAAGGCATTTGACTGTGTGGATCATAACAAGTTGTGGATGACAATGAGAAGATTGGGAATCCCAGAGCACTTGATTGTGCTCATAAGGAACCTATACTTGGAGCAGGAGGCTGTTGTGTGAACAGAGAAGGGGAGCATTGCATGGTTTGGAATTGGGAAGGGAGTGCGTAAGGGATGTATTCTATTTCCATATCTGTTCAATCTATATAGCGAGCAAATTATCTAAGAAGCTGGACTTTATGAAAAGGAATGTGGCGTCAGGATTGGAGAGAGACTCATCAATAACCTGTGTTATGCAGATGACACAACCTTGCTCAAAGTGAGAAGGATTTGAAACACTTGTTGCGCAAAACAAGGAATGCAGCTTTCAGTATGGATTATGTTTCAATATCGAGAAAACATTTTTACCAGTAGACCAATAGGCAGTATCATGATGGATGGAGAGATTGAAACTGTCAACAGCTTCATTTTGCTTGGATCCAAAATTAGCACCCTCAGTATGAGCAGTCAGTAAATAAGGTGACATACTGCAATGGGAAAATCTACAATTAGGGACCCTTCCAAATTAGAGGAGTAGTGATGTCAGTTTGAGGACAAAGGTGCATCTGATTCAGGCCACGGTCTTTCCAATTACTAGCTATGCATCTGACAATGAATAAGGATGACAGAAAAAGAATTGGTGTCTTTGAGCTGTGGTGATGGAGAAGAGCACCGAACATCTCGTGCACAGCCAAGAAAACTAATAGATGTCTTGGAGAGGGTGTAGCCTGAGTGCTCTTTGGAGGCAAGAATGAAGAATGTCACATAGTTTGGACATGCTGTGAGTTATTCCTTGGAGAGGGATATGATGTTTGGAAGGGTTGAGGGTTGGTAAAGGAGAGGAAGACCCTCAACCAGGTGGGTTGACAAGGTGATTGCTACAACGGGCTCTTGTGTGTCAGGAAGTGTGAGAATGGCGCAGGACAGGAGTAGGTTCAGATGTTCTGTTTATAGGGTTACTATGAGTCGTACGCAACTCAATGGTACCTAAAAACAACAACAAAGTACCAAGAGTGTTGACTGTGAAACCAAGCAAGCTGAAGTTGTTAACAATCTTAATCTCTTCTCCATCTGTAATGATGCTGCCAATTGTCCCACTGATGAGAATGTTTATTGATCTTGAGCTTCAATCTGTTAAAAGGCCTGTTAAATACTTTATTCCATTTAACCTTCACAATCCCAGGGTTTGTATGATTCTCAAATGTAGGGATATGAGCTCCTCAGGAATACATGCTTAACAATCACACAGCCAAAATGATGCAAATGAGACGCATATACTTACGTTCTTAAAAATAAAGATTCAGTCTTGTAATGTCTGCTAAAAAAACTAGAATGATTTTAAGAGTTTCAGAAAATAAACTGGTGTCCACTAGTAGACAGAATTCAATTTCCCTCATATGTTTAAGTACAAATCACGTAACTATAAAAAGTTCTGGAATATGCAACCAAATTGAAATATTTTCACTGAATTAGGATGATTTGGGATTTCTTTGATTTTAAGGAATAAAGCAAATTAATCTCTGTTCTTTTTTTAAAATTTTCTTTCATTTTTTTGTGTGTACCATCAAATCAAGTCTACTGGTACAGGAGGAGATAGCGCCTCCTTCTCCAGAAGAGCATCTGGTGGATTCGAACCATATACCTCTTGGATTTCAGTGCAGCTTCTTGCCACTAGGCCCCCAGAGCTCCCATAATCTCTGTTCTTTAAAAAAAAAAATTAATGAGTTTCTCTCAAATTATTTTATTTATTTAAAAAAGTAGATCTATCTAGTCATCCTAACTGGGTAAATTCCTTTTTAGGGAAATTTAAAGGGTGAATTATCCACGATTCTCAATCAAGCTGGTAGACTGGTTTAAAAAAAAATTTAAAAAGAATTTTCTGTTTATAAAGGGAAAGAAAATTGGTAAATTCCCAAATATGGTTGCTAGGTAAGAAAACATAATCTCCAAATCTAAGAGATTCCACAAAGCCTACCTTGCTATCCACAATTCTGTCCAGCCACTTCAGCTGATTGATAATGAGTCGAGGCATGCTGATACCATCACTGTGCTTGCTGAAATGTGAGGATGAGAACACAAGGAACTCAGACTTTTTTACTAACATAATATCAAGCACTGAGATCAAACAAAATATTTCAATCACTTAATTAACATTTATTGACTACTTACTATTGTGTTGAGCACTATTCAAGATATAGTGAAAAACATACATAATATGTGGTTGCACATACTAAGAAAGTTCTCTGAAGGAAGGCATTCTAAACCATCACCAGAGGCTAGAATAGGAAGAGAGTTTAGAGAAAATGTTGGAAAGTATCTTACTAACATACTTTACCACACTGAATAAATGATTAAGATGAGTACTTTGAAAAACACAAAAGTACAAATACCTGCTGAAAAAGATAAGCATGTATTCTTATAGAAACAAAAGGGCAAATTTATTATATGTATGATGTATTGAAAACCATTTATGTATCAAGAAATGTTAACTGAGTCATTATTACCCCCAAAATGTTGGTCCCTCCCCACTTTTCAACCTCTTATGTCTAAATTTTTAGTTCCCTTTTCTGGCAGCATTCTTAGTCCCTGTCTGTGGTAGACAATCTTTAACTGCTGAAGAAGATTTAGGCAGAAGTATCTTGTGTGAGCCGTTAAACAAAAGCACGGATTTCCATAATTATATCAAGTTCATTATTACATACACATATTAGAAAACATTATAATAGTACTAAAAAAATCTATATATCTGTATAAATACATAAACTTTTTATAAACAAAATACTGAGCTGAATTGTAAGCACTGACTTAAAAGCTGTTTACCCCACAACTAACAAATTGGTACTAAAAAGAGACATGGCAGTAGAGTCCAAGGTGAGCTGTACTGCTAACCACAGTGGCACCTCTCTCGTAGTTTGGATTCACCAGCAGATCCAAAGAAGAAAGAACAGACAATCATCCTCTGACTCCAAAATGAGTCAGTTCTACCTTGATGGCAATGAATTTTGAATGAAATAATAGAACTTTTTATGGTTTATGACATAATATTATATACCAAACTCCTATTGTTGCACAACTCAATCGCCTACCACTTTCTTTGTAATTCCAAACAGTAATATTACAGTGAAGTCTTTAGTTACAGTTATAATTATTACCTTGGGATAAATCAGAAGACAGCACTGAAGATTGTTATTGTTGGGTGCTGTTGAATAGCTTGTGACTCAGCGATTATATGTACAACAGCTCTGAATCCTGCGCCAATCTTACTATCTCCCTTTCCCCAGTCACTGAATCAATCCATCTCATCGAGAGTCTTCCTCTCCTGTGCTGTCCCTCCATCCTCACAAGCATGACATCCTTCTCCAAGGATTGGTCCCTCCTTGCAACATGTCCAAAGTATGTCAGATAAAGCTTCAGAATCCTTGCCTCCAAGGAGCAGTCTGATTTCACCCTCTCTAGGATGTACCTGTTTGTCCTCCCAGCAGTCGATCGTATAATCAATACTCTTCTCCAGCACCACAGCTCAAAGGCATAAGTTCTCCTTCTATCATCACTAGTCTTTGTCCAGCTCTCTGACACATAGCAAGTAATTGTGAAGACTATGGCCTGAAGATTAGAGTATGCAAAAACTAAAGTTTCTCATACATCCATCTATTGCCCTTTTCTGATGTATGTATTAATCATCAGTGAATACTCTTTGTATCTTTAACAGGGGAGGACCTTTGGAAAAAAAAATCTTATTGTTTTCATTTTTTTTCTAACATTTTTACACATTTTCAATGTTTGTTGCTCTTGCAATTTATCTTTGTGCATTAACTTCCCATACCTTTGTTTACTTTTCTAGTAGCTTTTTAATTTACTTCTGAAAAAGCTATTTTTAAAAAAAATGTATTTTTAATTTTTTAAGCAGTCAGCATATATAAATTACACCATTCAAGAGGTAAACAACAGTATTCAGGAATATCTGATCTCCTTTTACCAGTTTGTGTGTATATATCTACATCTATACAGACAGACAGACACATACACACACACATAATACCTGGAGTAAATAATCTTATATATTCTTATATAACATACCCAAAAAGCTCATTGCAATCAAGTTGGAACCAACTAAAACTTACCCTCCAGTTGGTTTCTGGGGGCAATAAATTCAATGAGAAGACACAGCCCATTTCTCTTCTATGAACAGATGATAAGATTCAAACCACCAGAGAGGTCACCTTTGAGTTACCAGCACAAGTCCCTTTCTCAGTTCCTAGTTATCACATCAATAAATGAAACTGAAGACAACACAGTAACTTAAGAAATTAACGTTTTGATAAATATGACCTATTGAGAAACAAATTATTTCTGTCTGAGTAATCTTCTGAGAAAGAAAGTTAATTAAGTACATGGTCCTTTCATTCTAAAATAATTCCACTTACTTTTCAAAAAGAAATGCTGGCAACTTTTCAAGTAAAGTTTTGATAATGGCAGGCTAAAAAAAAGAAGACAAAGAAATAGTATATTTTTATAGATTAAATCATGCTCCCTCCCCCAAAATCTATGTTGTAATTCCTGATCACTGTACTTGTTCTTACCTGAAAAATAAGACATTTCTTTTGTTATGTTAATAAGGCCATTCTTGCATAGGTTGGGTCTTTTCTGGATAGTAACTTAGATGGAGAGATACTGATACAAAGAAATAGATATAAAGGCAAAGAGTCATGTGACAATGGAGGCAATATATCTACACAACTAGGAATGCCAAAGATTGCTGGCAACTACCAGAAACCAGAAACCCAAGGAGCCAAAAAGCCTTACATAGGACTGAAACGCTGAATCTGTTCTTTAAACTAGGCACTTTGTGCTATTTTGTAAAGGCAGCCCTTGGAAATGAAGACCGTTTTAAAGTGCACAATTGTCTCTTTCACTACCATCAAACCAGAAACAACTCACAGCAGATGCTTCACTGGGTTTTTGAGGCTTTATGTCAAAATAGGAGACTATCCATTTTTCTCTCACGGAGATGTTGGTGGATTTGAACCTTTGATCTTGTGATTAGCGGGCCCGCGCGTTAGGTACTTTAACACCAACAATCCTTTCAAATATGATGATAACCATTAAAAGAAACCTATGATATGGAGGATTTTGAAGATGAACAGGTGGATTTGAACTGTCAAAAAAGATGCAGTCTTTGGGTTAGCCATATAACCCCTTATGGACCATGCCACCAGATTTCTCTAAAATACACAGCAGAAATGGGTAATCACGATTCTAACAAGAGTTCTTTATTTCCTTAGTCAAGAACTATAAGATTTTCTAATTATAAGACTGTCCATGTAGATAATGTCTATATTTTGAATTTAAATTGGTGCAAAATACCCCAGAAACAATAGCAAATTTCAAGAAGACAACAAACAATAAATACTGGTGAGGTTGGGGAGAGCCTGGAACCCTCCACTGTTGGTAGGAGTGTAAAATGGTGCAAGCACTGTGGAAGGGGTTTTGGCACTTTCTAAAAAGTTGGAAACAGAAGCATTATTTGCCACAGCAATCCCACTACTGGGAATATACCCTAAAGAAACCAAAGGCATGACCCAAATAGATTTATACACACCCATTTTGCTGCTGCAATATTCACAACAGCAAAGAGATGGAAACAACTAAAATGTCCATAATAAATGAATGGATAGAAACACTACGGTACATTCACACAATGGAGTATTACGCAGCACTGAAAAACAGAGAACTCATAAAGCCTTACACAACATGGGGGAGTCTGGAGGACATTTTCGTAAGTGGAATATCTTAGTCACAAAAGGACAAACACTTTAGAACACCACTGTTATAGATGGGTACAGGGAGTGGTGGTGGTGGGTGAGCAGAGAATGAGAAAAGAGTGGATAGATCATTAATGAACATTTCATGAGAACAGATAAGAGAAAGAAATTTCCAAAAGGAATTTATTATTAGGCATTATACATATGACAACACTCTGGAACAAAGGATGCATTGCTGGGAGGGCTGAGGAGAAGGAGAGGAGGGATAAAAAAATGTGCAAAAAAGAATTACAAAGATTGTTAGGAAACAAAGACTTATCAAAAAGTGTAGAACTACTATCAAGTCTAAACGAAAATAATTAGTCAATTAAATATGACAACCTGAAAAACCAAACCCAATCATATGGAGTACGTTCTGACTCACAGCAACCCACCACTGGACTTCTCAGGATGTAATTTTTTAAAAAAAAATTTTATTAATTTTGGGGAGCTCTGGTGGCCTAGTGGCAAGAAGCTGCAACTACAATCCCAGAGATGCACGGTTCGAATTCACCAGATGCTCTGCCGGGGAAGGAGGGGCAATCTCCTCCTGTACCAGTCAGAGCTGATTTGA